TAAACATGTGAGGACCTGACGCATTACGCATTACGAATTTTGCCACATGAATTACGCCATTACGCCATATACGTTAGGCCATCACGCCATGTGCTTTACAAAAAAGTATCATGGTAACCATGGTTTTCTGGTCCAAATTACCATCCACCATGGTAACCATGATTATCATGGTACCAAAACAATGAAATACATTGTTTGATGACCTAATGTATTTCATTGTTTTGGTACCATGATAACCATGGTTACCATGGTGGATGGTAATTTGCACCAAAAAACATGGTTACCATGGTACTTTTTTGCAAGGGATTACACCATTATGCCATATGCAAAACACTTACCACAAGCTACACCGGCAAATGTGTTGCAATAAGGTAGATCTTTCTTGTACCTACAGGATAACAGGGATTGTTCAGTTCCATTGCAAGCAACATTATTTCCCTCTACAGGGAAGTTCTCGGGTGGTTCCGTAGTTGGTACAGTGCTAACGTCGTGATAGTCGAATGTACCGCTGTCATAGTATGAACTGCTACTGTCCCACACCATGGCATATCCGTCGGTAAATCCCAGCTGTTTGCATGTGACCAAAGCATCTAGTGCATCCCACTCTTGGTCACAAAGGTTTTTCCATTCGCCTGCAACGTTGATTTGGACCACCCCTTCTTTGTCCGAAGTTCCCCCATACAAGCGAATGGGACCTTCAGCGGCAACTGCAAAAGAACGCAACAACACCAAACACGCATCAACAATAAGGTCATCATAAGTTACTTTCATGTAGCTTGTCCATTTAGATTTAAATTTTAAAAAACAGGGAACCCTTAGTCCCTCCAGAAAATAATCCAACCTGCCTTAAAAGTACAATCTTCTGTCAATATTCTACTGATTGTAAGGGCAATCAAACCTTTGTAATAATTGTTATCGAGTAAAAAGGAAAAAAAGAGAATCATTATGGCGAGAGTTTAAAATAAATTGGACAAAAGAGGAAAGTTATGAATATTTGTATTATATATTATCAAATGTATGCGAACCTCAAATCGCCCATTTGATCAGTGGACGTATTTAACTCTCCTGTTCTTTGGATGCTACCATATCATTTACCTATTTTTTTCGCTGATTTTAAAGATAAAGACCAGTTATGGTCATGCGATTGCATTGTGAAAGAAACGTTGTGGAATCGATCAGAAAAGGTTGATCATCTAGCATAAGTATTGGTGTGTACTGCAAGGTTCTGGAATCGTCAAAATGATAAGAAATTTGGCCCAGTCTTCGTAAAGTTACAAGCACTGTACACAGAAAGATGTATATGGGACTACACACACGTGCGCGACACCTGTATTTATCTCTCACACACCAATAGATAAACTAATTTACCAAATATATCAATAAGTAGGCGGTTTCCCGGCAATTTTTTTACCATCATGTATTAGTCAAAACATACTCTTTCACATGATTGGTAATAAGAGCTTCCATTTCATTTTTTTAAATTGGGGCGTTTCCAATACTGGTCTTTACCTTTAAGCCTTTACCTTTACCTTCTTGTCCCCTGGGGCAATTCTCAAATTATATCATGAACAGCATTGGTTCGAGAACAAAAAAAGATCCTGAAATTCTAGTCAGTTTGTATTTTGGAACCAATGAGAGAGGTGTACGGTAGCCTAGTACATCATGTACATGACGTAATATTATCATTTCATCCGATTTGAAACTTCCATTATATAGGCTTCGGCTTATAGTCATTACGACATTCTAAAATTCATAATATTCTTAATTGTGATGCCATTTCTGCAAAACTAGCACCGATCTGCCTCTCTTATGTTTCTGCTTACTATTATCAGAACTGTTTGCTATAATTACGGTTGGGTTTCCATTTAATCAACGGCAACTACGACATACAAAACATTCAAACACCTTCTAGTTCATAGGCAAGCACACACAAATAACACAAACGCATCATGCAACACGTACCTGTACCCCAAAGCATTGCGAGACAGATTACTGTTTGCAGCATGCTATATGTCGTTGACGCCATGTTGATGATCTAACGTGCATTTACCAAACATTCTTACTTGTACGGTTATTATACGTGTCCTGACATTATAATATTGCAATACTGAACAATACAATTGAGGAAACGTTCGACAAATACTATTTCTATCCAAATTCTATAGATTTTCCACGGTTGAATGATCTCGGTGGGTAGCGGTGATTATTAACTGGCTACTGCGTGTTGTTTTCAATGGAGGTTAGGAGTTAGTGTATTTATCACGTGCAAATAGGGACTTTTAGATTTACACGACGAGAGCGTGGACTGCCGCGTGTGACATTGCGTTAAGGCACTGGGCCGTGCCCGGCAGTGCCTTATAAGGACGTCACATTATGTCACACGTGGCGGTCCACGTTCTCGTCATGTAAAAACTAAAAGTCCCTAATTTAGACGCTTCTATTGCCATTGGTACACATCCATGCTTCTCAGTCTTATTTATTCTATTCGCTATTCATAAAGACCGATATTCCTAAGGACCGCTATCCATAACATGAAACCTCACATACCTTCAGGTCCGCTATTCATAATGGTAAAAGAGGGTCACTATTCATGAAGAAATAAGGTTCGTAAATCGTAAGGACCGCTATTCATAATATGAGGTGAGGGTAGCTATTCATAATTCACGTTAAAGGTATTACAAAGTTTTGGTAAATTTTGAAAAATGGGTGGATAATGATTCTTTACAATTTTGATATATTTGGATGCCCCTGTGGATGTATTAAATGCACTAGAAATTTTAGTCCCTAAAACACTTCTGCTTTCGAGAAAAATTGAATATAAACATTAACCGGTGCTCCCGGTAAATTTTGATAAATTTCAAATAGCTCCTACGGCCGTACAATGGTAGCTGCGACTATGGAAATCTCAGAATATGTAGTTGTGATATATAATTTCAAAACGGGAATATCTAATCGGTCGTTTAGTCAAGATACATTGTTTTATAGCTTAATTAATATCTTGACCTTGAGAGGGAGCTATACAACATAAAGTGTTTATTATTTACAATTTCATAAATGTAGAGTCGATTTCAACCTCGACAACGATCACTGAATATTGTAGGATCGCATATTATTCCAATATGTTCATTTGAACCGAATTCATGACCCCATACCAAAACTTTTTATTACCTTTAAGGGTCATTAATCATAAGGACCGCTATTCATAATATGAAATCAGGGTCGCTATTCATAATACGAAATGAGGTTCATTACTCGTAAGGGTCGCTATTCATAAAACGAGAAGAGGGTAGCTATTCATAGTACGAAATGAGGTTCACTATTCACAATAGGAGTATTGGTATTGGTATTTATTTTCCCTATCACAATATTAAAAACAATACAAAGAAAATGCATGTACATAGTAAAATCAATAGTATAGTGAATTGCTGGATAACCCATTCAGCTTTGTTAGTATAACAAAACTGTTTTTTCCCGGGGTCTAGGAATTAAGATATCAACATTTATTATACAACATACAATTCAACATAAAATAATATAATTTTAAAAGAAAACAAAGTTTTGGTATGTGGTCATGAATTTGGTTCAAATGAACATATTGGAATAATATGCGATCCTACAATGTTCAGTGATCGTTGTCCCGGTTGAAATCGAGAATAAAGTTATGAAATTGTAAATAATAAACTCTTTATGTTGTATAGCTCCCTCTCAAGGTCAATATATTAGTTTAGCTATAAAACAATGTTTCTTGAAAAAAGATCGATCGATTGGCTATTCCCATTTCGAAATTATATATCACAACTGCATATTCTGAGATTGTCATGGTCGCAACTACTATAGTACGGCCGTAGGCACTATTTGAAATTCATCGAAATTTGCCGGGAGCACCCACCGGTAAACTTTTATATTCAATTTTTCTCGAAAGCAGAAGTGTTTTAGGGGCTAAATTTTCCAGTGCTTATAATAAATCCAGAGGGAAATCCAAATATATCAAAATTGTAAAGAATTACTATCCACCCGATTTTCAAAATTTCAAAAAAACTTTGAATTACCTACATACAAAACCTAAAACATATTAGAGAAGTAAAAAACACCCCCCCCCCATCCCAAGCATGTTCCATTACAGATCAGAGCAAAACTGATTTCTTAAATTTAGATTTTTGCAAAAAGTTTTTAAACTGTTGGATAGCTTAATAGTTAACGGTAGGTCATTGTGCTCACGTGATCCTTTATACACAAACATTTTACGGAAGCATTCATTTTCTTGTGATCGTAGGGAATATGAATAGTCAGCTATGTATTTTACGTAAATCAAAATTAATATATTTGTCAACAATATCAACACTTTTATGAGAAAAATATAGCACAGTATCATTCATAATACGAATTTAGGGTCGCTATTCATAATATGAAATGAGGGTCGCCAATCAAAATTGGAGAAGAGGGTCGCTATTCGCAACACGAAATGAGGGTCGCTACTCATAATATAAGGAGAGGGTCGTTATTCATAATACGAAATGAGGATCGCTATTCATAATAGGAGAAGAGGGTTGCTATTCATAATACGAAATTAGGGTCGCTATTCATGATAGGAGTAGAAGGTCACTATTCATAATACGAAATGAGGGTCGCTATTCATAATATGAAATGAGGGTCGAAATTCATAATAGGAGTAGATGGTCGCTATTCATAATACGAAATGATGGTCGCTACTCATAATAGGAGCAGAGAGTCTTTATTCATGATACTAAATGAGGGCCGCTATTCATAATACGAAATGAGGGTCGCTTATCATAATAGGAGCAGAGGATAGCTATTCATAATACGAAATGAGGGTCGGTATTCATAATAGGATTAGAGGGTCGCTTATAATACGGAATAAGTGAGGGTTGTAATTCATACAAATCAAATAGGCCTAAGCGATACACGACAAACGGACACCGCCAATACTGTGGCGTAGCTGTGGGGGGGGGGGGGGGGGGTGGGACACTTGGCCCTGAATATTTGTCTTTTTTTTTTTAATAGGTTCATTTTTGTATTTGATAATTTTATAGAGACATCCCACGCTCCTGTGGTGACGAAAAATTGAAATGGAACATAACACACATATAATCCTAAATATCATCCTTGTTGGAAATCTTGCCCCACCCCTGCCACGACTGATTTCATCCAGGCTACGCCATTAAGTAGACCAAGCAGGCCCATCATCATAGTTTAAGGACTGACTTTTCTTTTGAAGAAACTAGTAATTGTTTAATATACTTTATAATTATGTTTAGTTTAGGGTTAGGGGGCTCGAACACTTTCGGACCTTGGAAGGTTTTCGCGTCATGTAAAAGCGTACAAAAAGGTAATGCAATCCGAATATGTAACAAACATTTATTGTCTTTTTTCTGTTGAGGATGAGGGCGATGATGGTTGTGATGAGTAAGGAGGTCTGATAAGCTATATATTATATATAGTGCAACAACATTAAAGTAAAAAAAATGCCGTGAGAAATTTGTTTTTGTTTTTATTTTGGGATGGGATATCTAGCCCTCGTAGGAACAATGGGGTAGGATATAATGATAAATACATAACAAACACAGGAAGAAAAAAAATATTTGTAAACATAAATATGCATGCAGGTTCAGAAAACGTTAAACATTAATTAATTCGAGACATGATAAATTCAAAGCAAACACAGAAAATACATGTAATAGTAATTCAAGTCTATGTATACATGCTCCCAAAATACATTAACTTTAGGTAAATAATTTTGTTGAAAGATGGGTACTTAAGTGAACAATGTTCTGATATCAAAAACTTAATTTTCATAAAAAGTGAATTTAGCTTCTTTTGGAATAAAGCTCTTCATATATACAAACACAGCTTTTCTGTCCAGGCAGAAAGACACTTGGGCACGTATATAGCAATTTCAAGTACTTTGATTTGTTTTGAATAACAAAACGACTTATTCCTAATGGTTCCCGAGATTTCATTGAACCATCAGTAAGAGAAAGCTATTCCAGAGCAAAACACCACGAAATGTTTAAAATAAAAGTGATGATTTAAAAAAAAAGTATACACATCATGCTTAATAAACACAATATTAAGTATATGTATATTCAACAACTATCTTTGCATGGCTTTTTTGGTTGTCATGTGATTTTATGGCAAGCCATGCCAAATCGATTGAACAAGGCGACTCGACTGATGCAGGTAATGGCGTAACGTAATTACGCAATGAAATGACGCCTTGCATGCCTCGGGTTTCAGGCACTTGGGTGAAGGGATTGACTTGCTGTAGCATCGCCTTGATCACCCACGGAGAGGCTCATAGTGGTCGACGTTGGCATTTTTGCATTGCGCCTTATCCAGTGGATACCAAACGCCCCAGCAATGATGATGAAAACGGAGGATACACCAGCGAAGGCCAAGGCCCCGATGACGGACGGCCTCACTGTTGTGTCTGTTTGAAAAAAGAAAGAGGAAAGAAATATGACTTGATAGTCATAGATACTACCATATGAAAGCGACGTGACGAACCACTACTATATTATATACGGATTCAATGAATGTTTCCAACGTGACAATATAATTATTCTGGGAGTAACCCTGAACAGCAACCTTTGCTTTTGTTTTCCCTTATCTGTATACCGGTTTACCATGTTCTATCGCTTGTTTTTGTATTATTTTGTAATGTTTGTCTCGTTATGTATGTATTTTTTTGTATATTGTTATGTACGTTATTTGTATTTTGTTTGTTTATACTTGAATGTGGAAAATAAATGGGTACATTAATTAATTACTTAATTAAAATAAATCGTTATCAATACCAATATGTAAGGATGTATAGGTGTAACATAACATGGTTCGAGGTGGAACTGTAATTTATTATATGAAATTACTTTGCTCTTTAACATGTTTAAGGTGGACCTAGTAGAATGTAAGGCCAAGTTTAATTTCAAACGACGTTCGTCTTTGAAAAGGGAGTCCACGCTGATGTTAACTTACTTTTTAAAAGAATCAGAAGTAAAAAACGAGAGAAACCTGTGAGTGAAAGTTGCGATCAATCGATCAAATACGAATTGGCAACTCTATGACGTATTTTGCGAGATCCCATCCCTTTTGCTTCGTATTAAAACAAACTTTAACAAAAAAATAAGGAATTGTTATTTTCCCTCAAGAAGATTGACAATCGTACATGTACCCTAAATGAAATTATTGCAAATATGTTTCTAAACATTCTAACTATGGAAAAATCTATTCGGTCATCAATGATAATGAAAATCTGAGTTAACTTTATGAAATCTTACGTACAGAGCAAATGTAAGAACAACGTAAACATTTAACATATAACCGCCTTCGGCCGTAAGCGGTATGTCCCTTCCAAGAATCTGGCTGATCTGGAATGATTTGTGTAGATAAAGAGTATTTATTGCCACATAAACCTTTTTTTGAAACAGAAACCGTTGGGCTCATTTCAAAAGCTTATTTCAAGGAATATTTCAATTTATCAATAATATTTGATCTTGAAATCTTAACTCTTTAGAGTTAAGATACAATACTTGATCAAACAATTATATCATAGGAGGCACGATAAGGGCGTAGCTAGCTGATTTGGGGCATTTGAGGGGGCACTGAAAGGGCATGTCTTCCCCCTCCCTTTTAAAAAGATCAGAAAAGCGAGAAAAAAAGAAAAACAGGGACGAGGAATGAAGACTCCCGGAACACTTCCCGCACGCTTCGCCTAATCAGTAGCTTTATACATTCGTCTTTTATTTTCTGATGAATACCGGTGCCCCCATTGTTCACGTATCCCATCATAGGGTAGACTCACTCTACGCCTCTGCAGAAGGGGTAAAACCACCTAATACCCCCTTCACATACACGGATTTTTCTTACGAGTCCTTACGAATCGCACAAATTCACGGATCTATCACGGATCCTTACGATTTGGCCACTTTTACGACCAATTTAAGAGTTGTTACGAGTTATTACGAGCTATTTACGGTTTGTTACGGATTATTACGAGTTACTACGATATACTTACGGCAGAATTCCACGATTTGTTACGAGTAGTCACGGATAACTACGAGCAACTTACGTGTTAGTAACGACCTGTTAACGTGTTGTTACGAATAGTTACGAGTATTTACGAGTCCTTTCGATTTTTAACCAAAAAATAATAAATGAAAATGAAATATTCTAATTTGCAGCTTTTATACCTTTTCCCCAAAACGTAAACGATACGTAAGAATACTTAAAGTATACGTATATATTTGTAAAGTACTCGTTACTACACGTAAAGTGCTCGCAATAGCTCGTAACGATCCGTAAAGCCATTGTAACACGACCCGAACGAAAATCGTAAACAACACGTAAGCACTCATAATAATCCGTAAATAATCCGTAAGTAATCCGTAAAAAGTCCGTAAACAAATCATAAACCAACCGAAACAAATCGTTAAAGGCCCGGTCACACAGCCTTTCGCGTCTGTATCGCGGGTATAATTTCTTGATTTTTTTTTGCCCGCGGTTGCCCGTGGTGGAAAATGTGCAAAATTGGCTTACCCGCGGTTTACCCGTGGTATGCCCGCGGAACAGACGCCGGCGACTGTTCCGCGTCCTTATCGCGGGTGAAGCGCGGCGGTACCGCGGCCTACCACGCTTACACGCGGTACACACGCTAATGCACGTGATAACAACGCGGTACAGACGCGGAACAAACGTGCTATGACCGTGCTCCACCCGCGATTACCCGCTAAAATTTCGCGTCCAATTCCGCGTGTAACCACGTCTTAACCGCGGCCGTAGCACGTCCTAGCACGTCCGTTCCGCGTCTGTACCGCGTCTTTACCGCGTGTGTACCACGTGTACCGCCCGCGATTACCCGCGGTCTAAATTTTTGGGCAGCCCAAAACTTTTTCGCGCGGCCAACCGCGTGTGAATTTCTTACCGCGTGTAACGACGGGTAAAGTACGGCTGTATCGCGTCTTTATCGCGACCTCAAAGCGTCCAACAGCGTCTGCTTCACGGGCAGAAATTTTTGGCCGTGATTCGGCCGCGATACGCCCGTGGAGGGCTGTGTGACCGGGCCTTTAAGAAGTCTTTACGAGTCATTTACGGATTCTTGCAAGCAGTTAACGGATGGTAAAGTGTTGATGCGAGCGGTTTACGATACTTACGGATTGTTACGACCTATCTACGAGTTGTTTACGGACAAATAAATCCGTCGACAATCGTAAGAAGATTTTTGACATGTCAAAAAATTGCCTCTCCTTTCACGGATCCTTACGAGTGTCTGCGAGTTGTTGCGAGTTGTGACGAGCTATTTGCGGATACCAGTGAGTTATTTACGGATGCTTGCGATTGACTACGAGTTGGCGATTCGTAAGGACTCGTAAGGAAAATCCGTGTATTTGAAGGGGGTATAAGATAGGCATGGGATTGACAAGGTTAAGGAAAATAACTTACAACATTCGACACCGTTGGCCAGTACGCCGTTCGGACATATACCGTCAGTTGTGTATTGCTCGAAGCAATCGTAAAAGTTCCCTCCCGTTTGGCAAGACAGTTCACTAAATACCATGGGAAAGTTCTTTATCATTGGTACCTGGATTGCCTGGAACAAACAGGAGAATGGTTCTAGATATATTTATTCAAATTATTATTTAACGTCCTTTCTCATTATACACACACCCAAACATACACACTCACACAAACAAAACCCAATATAATTGTGTCAATTATGTCGTTCATCCTGCAAATTGTATCTTTATAATATACATATAGACCTACATGCATTTATGGGGCATATCAATTTATTGTACACCTTCTATTCAGGTATATTGAGACTGGTGCAAGCCCATTTAACAGCTGTAATTAATTGATATTTTTGTATTAACACCTCCCCCCCCCCCTACCCCTCAATGTACTGATCTCATTCATGAGCTGTTTCGGTGAAACCACCATACTAGGCTGACGTATTGCATTCAGCATACCCGGTCGCCACGTGGAGGACCAGCGACCTGAGGCAATACATTTTGCGACTGTTGATATGCAAGGTGCAAAATATATGTATATACATGTATATTTCACACACAAAAATGTCAGTAACAAAGGACAAAATGTATGTGTGTGTGTGGGGGGGGGGGGGGGTAGTCACACCCCAAATAATTATTAATTATGACTAATACACTGACTTTATAAATAAGATCCCACTGAAATAAGGTATTCAGCTTAAATTGGTATTCCTGTCAAGTTATTATCATTGTCATGTTGTTTTCATTTTATGATTCCATTACTATATGTGTTTATGTTACATTGGACTTGAATAATAGAGCAAATTAAATTAAAAAATATATAGGGCCTATATAACCTCCTTCTAGTGAGGCACTTGGACATACCTTGCCTCCATTGCTGTACCCTTGGTTGTTGCATATTAAGTTAGCAGCTTGCTCATCCATGTCACATATGCCTCCCGCTACAAGTATTTCCCGATTTCGATAATAACTTCTCCCTTCCTGAAGAAACAGCACTCGCCCACTCGTATTGCCAGGAGTCGTGGTTGGAGAGATGAGGAAGTCGTCACTCGAGATATAATGGTCGAAATCATTGAGTAATTCGTGGAATTTTGTGGTGGTGATACCTAAATGTGCATGAATTGAGAGAGAGAGAGAGAGAGAGAGAGAGATAGAGAAAGAGATATACCGAAGGAAAGAGACAAAATAAGCGAGGGGAAAGAGAGAAGGAGGGAGAGAGAGAGAGAGGGGGGGAAGGGATGGTGTGAATGTGTGATGTGGGACAGTCAATTGAGAGAGAGAGAGAGGGAGAGAGAGAGAGAGAGAGAGGGGGGCTAGGTGGTTGTTGAATTAAATGGCCATTGTAATAACAGTAGACAAAATATTAAAAAAGCGTAGACCATTTAACAATTCGAAAGAATTGCGCCACATTTGCGACACAGATTTTAATCTTCATAAATGTACAAAAAAGTTTCTAGAAATGAACATGAAGCATTCTTGATTCCTCAGCACGGAGAAAACAATTTGCAATTAATTACACGTTTGTAACCTACCTCCTCGTGCTTCATCCCTCCTCCCCCGCTTATATGTAATTTCAATACCAGGTATCTCTATACTCTACTGGGGCCTCGATTCAATGCTAATCTTTTAACAATGTATTCCCATTTGATGTAAACATGTGAGGACCTGACGCATTACGCATTACGAACTATGCCATTTTCCATTATGGATTACGTCACACGAATTACGCCATTAAGCCAGATGCGTTACGCCATTACGCCATGTGCATTACACAAAAGTACCATGGTAACCATGTTTTTTTGTCCAAATTACCATCCACCGTGGTACCATGATAACCATTGTTAACATACGGTGGATGGTAATTTGGACAAAAAAACAATGGTTACCATGGTACTTTTTTTGTTAGGGGCGCCTATGCAAAACACTTACCACAAGCTACACCGGCATATGTGCTGCAATAAGTTAGATCTTTCTTATACCTACAGGATAACAGGGATTGTTCAGTTCCATTGCAAGCAACATTATTTCCCTCTACAGGGAAGTTCTCGGGTGGTTCCATAGTTGGTACAGAGTCGGTACCGCTGTCATAATATGACCTGCTACCCTCCCACACCATGGCATAGCCGTCGGTAAATCCCAGCTGTCTGCATGTGACCAAAGCATCCAGTGCATCCCACTCTTGGTCACAAAGGTTCTTCCATTCGCCTGCCACGTTGACTTGGACCACCCCTTCTTTGTCCGAAGTTCCCCATACAAGCGAATGGGACCTTCAGCGGCAACTGCAAAAGAACGCATCAACATTAAACACACAACAACTATAAGGTCATCATAAGTTATTTTCATGTAGCTTGTCCATGTCGAGTTGGTTTGATAGGGCTTAAAAGTCAAAATTTAAAAGAACAGCGAACCCTTTATAGTCCCTCCAGAAAATAATCCAACCTGCCTTTCAAGTACAATCTTCTGTCAATATTGTACTGACTGTTATGGCAATCAAACCTTTGTAATAATTTGTATCGATTAAAAAGGAAAAAAAGAGAATGATGGCGAGATTTTAAAATAAATTGGACAAAAGAGGAAAGTTATGAATATTTGTATTAGAGAAAATGTATGCGAATCTCAAATCGCCCATTTGATCAGTGGACGTATTCAACTCTCCCGTTCTTTGAATGCTAGAATATCATTTACTTATGTTTTTTCTCTGATTTTAAGCATCTTGTTCCCTGGGGCAATTCTCAAATTATATTATGAACAGCATTGGTATTAGAAAAAAAAGATCCTGAAATTCTAGTCAGTTTGTATTTTGGAACCAATGAGAGATTTGTACGGTAGCCTAGTACATCATGCACATGACGTGATATTATCATTTCATCAATGTCTGCAAAACTAACACCAACCTGCCTCTGTTATGTTTCTGCTTTCTATTAGCAAAAGTGTTTACTATAATTACGGTTGGATTTTCAATTTGATCAACGACAACTATACGACATACAAAACAGTTGTACACATTCTAGTTCATAGCCAAATACACACAAATAACACAAACGCATTATGCAACACGTACCTGTACCCCAACACATTGCGAGAAAGATTACTGTTTGCAGCATGCTATATGTCGTTAACGCCATGTTGATGATCTAGCGTGCATTTACCAAACATTCTTACTTGTACGTTTATTATACGTGTCCTGACATTATAATATTGCAATACTGAACAATGCAATTGAGGAAACGTTCGACAAATACTATTTTTATCCAAATTCTATAGATTTTCCACGGTTGAATGATCTTAGTGGGTAGCGGTGATTATGTCAACTATCATGCATAGTGCTAGCTATACTGCGTGTTGTTTTCAATGGAGGTTAGGAGTTAGTGTATTTATCACGTGCAAATAGGGACTTTTAGATTTACACGACGAGAGCGTGGACTGGAGCGTGTGACATTTTGTTAAGGCACTGGGCCGTGCCCGGCAGTGCCTTATAAGTACGTCACATTATGTCACACGTGGCGGTCCACGTTCTCGTCATGTAAAAACTAAAAGTCCCTAATTTAGACGCTGCTATTGCCATTGGTACACATCCACGCTTCTCAGTCTTATATATTCTATTCGCTATTCATAAGGACCGCTATTCCTAAGGACCGCTATTCATAATGTGGAACTTCCCATACCTGCAGGTCCGATATTCATAATCGTAGAAGAGGGTCACTATTCATGAAGAAATAAGGTTCGTAAATCATAAGGACCGCTATTCTAATAAAAATGATCTTAAACTCAATAGTAAGAAAACTGAGGTTCTACATTTCACCAGCAAATTCAGGAAAAGTAACCAGATGGATGGCATAGAAATAGACAATATCCTTATCAAATGTGTCGATGCCGCTAGAAATCTTGGCGTGCAGCTAGACAAAAATCTTACAATGAAAGCTCAAGTCAATAATGTATGTAAAACCAGTTCGTTTGCTCTGCACAAAATTGGAAAAATCCGCCAATTCCTAACCAAAGAAGCTACTATGCAGCTGGTTCATGCCCTGGTTATATCTCGCATAGATTTTTGCAATAGTCTACTATATTCTCTTCCTGGTGTTCACACCAATAAATTACAAAGAATCCAAAACTCAGCAGCCAGACTAATCACTAGAACTAAACGCAGAGAACATATAACACCCATACTTAAACAATTGCACTGGCTGCCAGTTAAGTCCCGTATTAATTATTAGATCCTTTTACTGACATATAAATGCCTAAACGGTACAGCCCCGTCTTACCTGCAAGATCTCATTCTACAATATACCCCTAAAAGAAACTTAAGATCAAATAGTAAATCCCTCCTGGTAGCTCAAAGCACTCAAACAAAATATTATGGCACTCGCTCTTTCAGAAATTCTTCGGCCGAATAGTGGAACAGCTTGCCTGATACTGTCAAACAGGCAAGCACAACAGAATCATTTAAAACTCTGTTGAAGACCTATCTTTTTGTAAATTGTTAATTTTGTTCCAGCTGTTTAGTGACTTCTTTGGTTATAGTATCATGTACATATTTAATATTTAATTTAATCTTCATTTAATTTTCATGTTTTTTCAAGTTTAAATTTGTATTACCTGAATTTACAATGTATTACATGTAAGCTATGTAGGAATCGTGTATCATTATTGTTGTTTGTAATTAATTATTTTCATGTATCAGGCATAAATGTTCATTTCTATTCCGCCCTTTTCCTTCTTTTCTAAGCGCATAGGGACTTTCTTTGTGTGAGTGATATGCGCTATACAAATAACGTTCATTATTATTATTATTATTATTCATAACGTAAGATGAGGGTAGCTATTCATAATTCATGTTAAGGGTCATTAATCATAAGGACCGCTATTCATAATATGAAATCAGGGTCGCTATTCATAATACGACAAGAGGGTCGCTATTCATAATGCGAAATGAGGATCACTATTCATAATAGGAGTATTGGTATTGGTATTTATTTTCCATATCACAATATCAAAAACAATACAAAGAAAATGCATGCACATAGTAAAATTAATAGTTTAGTGAATGGCTGGATAACCCATTCAGCTGTGTTAGTATAACAAAACTGTTCTTTCCTGGGGTCCAGGAATTAAGATATCAACATTTATTATACAATATACAATACAACATAAAATAATATAATTTTAAAGGCTGAGATTGTCATGGTCGCAACTACTATAGTACGGCCGTAGGCGCTATTTGAAATTCATCAAAATTTACCGGGAGCACCGGTAAATTTTTATATTCAATTTTTCTCGAAAGCAGAAGTGTTTTAGGAGCTAAATTTTCTAGTGCTTATAATACATCCAGAGGGAATCCAAATATATCAAAATTGTAAAGAATCACTATCCACCCGATTTTCAAAATTTCTCAAAACTTTGAATTACCTACATTATAAAACCTAAAACATATTAGAGAAGTAAAAACACCCCCCCCCCCCCATCCCAAGCATGTTCCATTACAGACCAGAGCAAAACTGATTTTTTTTTTTTTTAAATTTAGATTTTTGCAAAAAGTTTTTAAACTGTTGGATAGCTTTATAGTTAACGGTAGGTCATTGTGCTCACGTGATCCTTTAAAAACAAACATTTTACGTAAGCATTCACTCTTTGGTTTGGGGAGTTTAATATTTTCTTGTGATCGTAGGGAATATGAATAGTCAGCTATGTATTTTACGTAAATCAAAATTAATATATTTGTCAACAATATCAACACTTTTATGAGAAAAATATAGCACAGCATCATCTGCATATAGATACAATTTACAAGTTTTTACTTGTTTCACCAGATCATTTATATAATAAATAGGGCCAAGTATGGAACATTGAGGAATTCCATAATCTATATCTAAAATATTTGATGTAGCAGAACCAATACAGGTACAAATCTTATGGTTATACAAGTAACTCTCGAACCAAGGTAATGTGTCCCTCGAAACATCAATGCTGAACAGTTTTTAAGCAAGTATTTGAACGTCCATAGTGTCAAACGCCTTTTTCGAATCGATAAACACATCACCAATATAAAGGCCTTCATCCAATGCTTGCAACCAATCATCGGTGACTTTCAATAAAGATGTTACAGTCGAATGCTTTTGCCTGAAACCCGATTGCAGGGCGCAGAGTACATAGTTTTCTTTCATATACGATTTCAGTTGATTGCATACTAATCTTTTCAGAATTTTTGAGACGGATGGCAAAGTGGATAGTGGTCTAAAATAAGAAGGATCATCTTTGTTTCCTGATTTAAATAATGATATCACTTTAATAGCAGTTTTAAATTGATGTGATAGTGGTGGTTATTTTACCTAACAGCTAAGGAAGCAATAAATGCTTGTTAGTAAGCAACCAGAAGACCAACGGCTTGAGGTCCTCTCCGAGGGACCTGGTAATGAGGATTAATGCCTTACCAAATAGCACTAGCGCATCGACTTGGTTTCGAACCCAGGTCACCAGATTACGAGACCACTGCTCTACCGACTGAGCTATCGCGCCTCCTCGAAATTAGTTAGGATAAACACAGTCTAGTAGTGATTTATTAAACAAATATGTTAGAGATGGAATTATAACAGGAGCCGACCGAGTAGGGGTCGCTAGTCATAATTCGAAATGAGGGCCGCCAATCAAAATAGGAGAAGAGGGTCACTTTTCATATTATGAGGAGAGGGTCACTATTCATAATACGAATTTAGGGTCGCTATTCATAATATGAAATGAGGATCGCCAATCAAAATTGGAGAAGAGGGTCGCTATTCGCAATACGAAATGAGGGTCGCTACTCATAATAGGAGTAGAGAGGCTTTATTCGTAACACGAAATGAGGGTCGCTATTCATAATATAAGGAGAGGGTCGTTATTCATAATACGAAATGAGGGTCGCTATTCATGATAGGAGAAGAGGGTTGCTATTCATAATACGAAATTAGGGTCGCTATTCATGATAGGAGTAGAAGGTCACTATTCATAATACGAAATGAGGGTCGCTATTCATAATAGGAGAAGAGAGTCGCTATTCATAATGTGAAATGAGGGTCGCTATTCATAATAGGAGTAGATGGTCGCTATTCATAATACGAAATGGGGGTCGCTACTCATAATAGGAGCAGAGAGTCTTTATTCATGATACGAAATGAGGGTCGCTATTCATAATACGAAATGAGGGTCGCTTATCATAATAGGAGCAGAGGATAGCTACTCATAATACGAAATGAGGGTCGCTATTCGTAATAGGAGAAGAGAGTCGCTATTCATAATATGAAATGAGGGTCGCTATTCATAATAGGAGTAGATGGTCGCTATTCATAATACGAAATGGGGGTCGCTACTCATAATAGGAGCAGGGAGTCTTTATTCATGATACGAAATGAGGGTCGCTATTCATAATACGAAATGAGGGTCGCTTATCATAATAGGAGCAGAGGATAGCTACTCATAATACGAAATGAGGGTCGCTATTCATAATAGGATTAGAGGGTCGCTTATAATACGGAATAAGTGAGGGTTGTAATTCATACAAATTAAATAGGCCTAAGCAATACACGACAAACGGACACCCCCAAGACTGTGGCGTAGCTGTGGGGGGGGGGGTGGGACACTTGGCCCTGAATATTTGTCTTTTTTTAAAAAATAGGTTCATTTTTATATTTGATAATTTTATAGAGACATCCCACGCTCCTGTGGTGACGAAAAATTGAAATGAAACATAACACACATATAATCCTAAATATCATCCTTGTTGGAAATCTTGCCCCACCCCTGCCACGACTGATTTCATCAAGGCTACGTCATTAAGTAGACCAAGCAGGCCCATCATCATAGTTTAAGGACTGATTTTGCTATTGAAGAAACTAGTAATTGTTTAATATACTTTATAATTATGTTTAGTTTAGGGGGGAAGGGGGCTCGAACACTTTCGGATCTTGGAGGGTTTTCGCGTCATGTAAAAGCGTACAAAAAGGTAATGCAATCCGAATATGTAACAAACATTTATTGTCTTTTTTCTGTTGAGGATGAGGGCGATGATGGTTGTGATGAGTAAGGAGGTCTGATAAGGAATATATAGTGCAACAACATTAAAGTAAAAAATGCCGTGAGAAATTTGTTTTTGTTTTTATTTTGGGATGGGATATCTAGCCCTCGTAGGAACAATGGGGTAGTATATAATGATAAATACAGAACAAACACAGGAAGAAAAAAAAATATTTGTAAACATAAATATGCATGCAGGTTCAGAAAAAGTTAAACATTAATTAATTCGAGACATGACAAATTCAAA